AGCCATTTATAAAGTTTATCTCTGGTCAAAAAAATGGCAGTTAAAAGTAACCAATAATAAGTGCTTTACTCATAGAATAGCACCTACTTCATTTTGTAAAGATATAAATTACAATTATCAATTAGGCGATCATAATTTAACTTGGTCTACAAACCCAAAATATCTTGGTGTGACGATGGAATCTTACTTAAATACAATAATCATGTTTCAAATATTGTCCGCACATCAAACATTCAAGAATATCTAATCCTTAAGTGTTTTAAAAGTCATGATCCACGTGTTATCGTTAAAGCCTACACTACTTATATAAGACCGATTTTAGAATATTGCTCTCCGGTTTGGTAGCCAAATCGCACTGAAATGAACAATATAGTGGAAAGAGTACAAAGGCGTTTTATCGAGTTACAAAATTCTGAACAATTTAGTTTGCTTAAATAAATCAAGTTTCTTTTTATTTAACAACTATATTTACACTCGAGGACATAATTTCAAATTACGCAAACTAATATGTAAACTCGATGTCCGTAAATACGCTTTCTCACTCAGGGTTGTTAATATTTGGAATAACTTTCCGTCTGACGTCGTAAACGCCAAAAATATAAAGAGCTTCAAAATTAAAATCAACTCTGTCGACTTTGAAAAATACTGTTCCGGCTAACTGGTTTTTGTTTTATAACTATGGTCTTATATATAATTGTAAAATATATTTTAATATATCTAGCATATGTATTAGGTGATTGTAGGGCACGTTGTCAGAGTCCTTCAAACAAACTAATCAAATTAAGCAAATTTTATTCTGAACCTGTAATATAAATTCAATCACTCATAATCTAACTCATGTAAATATTACTTTTACATGATATTACAAAGAAAAATTTTAAAGAAAGTTTTGTATAAGTAATTATAGTATTACAACGATTTATATATATACTAATTTTCTATATAGAGCGTGTAATACCAACAATTTTTTTTGTAATTGTTTTGTAATAAAATATATTACATGGTACATGTAAGATTTTTATTTTATAGACCAAAGTATTGATTTTCTATAAAGAGCGTAGTTTGATTTGGCTTGCGTAAAAATTTCAGGATTTTCTAACACATAAACTACTGTCAAAGGTTTACTAGGTATACCTACATAGTAAATAAAAATATCTATTTTTATCTTAAAAAAAAAATACTTTTGTATTGACTAAAACAACTGACATAAAAAGCTTAGATAACATAACTATGATTTCTTACCGTTTTGTTGTTTGGATGGCTGAACAAAATTAATCTCTTCAGATTAAGGTTCTTTTGAAAAAAAATTCGTAAAAATTTGATAAAAATAAGTGCAGCGGTACAAAAAGAGAAAACCTCTATGGAAAGAGAAAGATGTTGTGAATGGAAGAATGGTTCTTTAAACAGTAGTATAAAGCTTTTTTTCAACTGTGCCATCAAATAAGATCCCACTTAAAAATGTTACTAAGTGTGGCTAGTATCATTAATTTAAACAATTAATTATTCCAGAATTATTTCCTTGTAACTTAAAATATATTTCTTTATTTTTAATAGTTTTTCAGTACGAATATTTGTAAATAAGTTTAGTGGACTGTTATCTATTATAAATTTAGATTGAATTTTTTAAACAGCAGTATTTGGTTTAGTTCAATTTAGTAAAATTTTTGTGAATTGCGACGATGCATAATCAAGCTAAGATCATGATAAAAACTGAAATATTTTGCGCTTGTCTGGAAAATTGTTTAAGTCAATTTACTGCTTTTACAGTAGATTGAATATACTAAATGTACAAAGCCAAGATCAATATCATTGGTTCTCTAATACCACAAAGACTACGAGTCTTTGGGGTACCCGAGAACCTTTAATCTTTTTTGTTTCCTTTTCGCAGGAAGAAAAAAAGGAAAAGAAGTTGTGCTTCACTCTTTATTTGATTTCAAATCAATACAAGTGTGAACTGAAACAAAAGTTACGTTGCTTAATCTGCCGTATTATAGCCAGCGAAGAACATCCTCTGGAATAGAAAAGCGCTATTAAAAAAAGACCAAATTTGCGTTGCAGCTTACGTCTCAGTCTTCTAAGAAAAGGTTTTGCCTAGCAATTATCTTAAATGCAGTATAAAATTATTATTCTTTAGCAGAAAAAGATGCCAAAGCAGCTGAAAAAATTGCATCTTAAGTTTTTTCCAATAAAGAATTATCTTCAGAAAAAATTATTCAACTTAATAAAACATCCAACGGACCACCACTTACAATTGCTTCCAGTAAACATTTATACTGAAGCAATTTCTAAAAATATATTGAAAAAAAGTCTAAGCACTCCAATTTGATTGCTTTAGCCCTTGTAAATGTAAAATTAAGTAAGTTCCTGTCAAAAAGGGTAAAAACACTTTTAAGAACTGTAAACCAAACTTCAAGCAGCCAGATAGTAGAGCCAAAATTAGTCATGAACTTTCTAAAGTCACTTGAGTGCTTTCTACAACTGCAGTGACTTGTTGCTTAATGCAATGATTTATCAAGTCTTGTGTGTTATTCTCTCTTGAAAAATGAGTTAGTTTCTATCCTTGTCCCCATATATTTTTTAATTTACACAATCAATCTTCCAAATATTCTCATATCTAAGGTAATATTGTTCGCTGATGATACTACCATTTATTCTTGTCTTAATAAGAAACCAACACTCTCTTATTGTTTGGAGGGGAAATTTGAGCTAGAAAAGAGTTTTACTTCTGCTGCAGCATAAAGCTCTTGGTGGCTGGTAAACATTAACTCAGATAAAACTTTCTTTCAGCTAATTGTTATTGCAACAATCTAGATCTTTCTATATTTATGAATGTACTTGATGAGTCATCTACTCTTTTTCTTCTAGAATAAACTCTTACATCCAATCTTTTTTGGAAACCAGATATCAATTCGATTGCAAAATTAAAATCTGCTAGTGTTGCATCTCTTTGTAGTGTTTATCACTTTTTTACTCCGGATTCAATTCTTTATCTCTATAAATCCCTAATTTATCCCTTTTATTGACTACTATTGCCACGTATGTAGCAGATCTTTGAAGGATGCTCTTTCTTTTTTAAACAATGTAAAAAAACGCATTGTAAGCATGGTTGAACCTGCTTCTGCAACCAACCATTAAACATTGCCCCATTGTCTTAATATCGCTTCTCTTTCTCTTTTCTATAAAAATGAGCGCTTTTCTAAAGAGCTCTTGTGCCATCTATCAAAATTCATTCCCGTATTATTTGTAATTCAATTAAGCCTCATCTTTTTATTGTTCTTAAGAGCTCAAAATCTAACATCAGCTCTTTGAACTTGCTCCTTTCATCTTGTTTTATCATGTCTGATTGATACAGTTTTCAATCTTTTAAGTCGTTTGTTAACTGCTAACTTGTTTTTTAAATTTTTCTCTTCCACTAACTTCCAAGATATTAAAAAAAAAAAAAATTAACAGAAACTCACTCCAATATTGCACAAATCTAGTCATTGGTTAATCCACTAACTTTTGCTTGTAATATAAACATTACAAATTTAATTTGTGGATGTTAAACTTTTCCAAATATGCACCCTTGCACATAATGTGACGTCAAATCCAAATGTCTTGCAAAATCTGAAAACTTGCAAACACTAGACTCAAATTTAGCATTTATTCTTTTTTGCAATTTAACGGGGTTGCTAATACAAATCTGTTCGACAATATCATTAATCAATGAAAATGCATCTCCTGTGAAATTCCGATTCCATCGGATTCCAGGTAGTTGCTCATCATCTTTTCAAGATCCTCACAACTGCCGAGTGTCCGCCACTTTCAACTGATCCCATATGATTAGGTTCAGTTCAAGGAAAATCAATGCATGAAGCTATCTAAAATTGTAACAAACAAATATTGTTGTAAAAAAAAGCCAATAAAAAGTTTTATAAAACTTTCGTCATTCTCACTTTTTTTAATATAATAAAATATCTACAATTTTTATTATATTTGAGGGAGTTGTATCCCTCAAAAATGACGTAATGAAGTTCTTATCTGGGTTTTTTTCATAGCAAGTTTTAAACAATTTGATAAGATTTAGCAAAAATGTGGTAACTAAACACTTATAATAAGATCACGATTCTAAAACAAATCTATATACTCATATATTCAAAAATTAATAACTTTTAGTAATTTTTTTAATCAAATTAAATGCCACACTTGGAAAAGTTTTGAAATTTACAGTCCAATTAGCAAATAGTGTAAAAAAAACTTAAATCCAAAAAATTAGCACATTGTTTTATTTATTACCTTCAAAAATATTTAGGCTTATATTGAAAATAGAATGCAAACTTATTTTTTAGTTATTAATATTTTGTTTATTTTTTATTGTGTCAAACTTTGTGAATGTTTTGTCTCAAGAAACTTAAAGACTTTTATTTTTAACAGCCCAACGCCGACCTAACAGTTTTTCACGAGTTTAAGTATTCAGCTACTTCTTATTAACAATGTTTAAATGTAAATCGTCAATGTAAATTTTAAATGCTTCTTCTTTTAAATGCTTATGTTAAGTGACACATAATTCAAGTAACAACTTTATTGCCTCAAAAAATTATAAAAATTGTTGATTAATTTTTTTTTTTCCATTTTTAGTTATTTTTTAAAAAAATAAAATTTAACAATTTATTTTTTTTTAATTTTTGTTTTAACTTTACAAAATAAGTATATCACATTAATTAATTGTTGCTTCGCAACAAAATCAAGAATTCAAGCATGCATGTATGTTAATATTCAGTTAAGTATTTCTATGCGTCTCACATAATTTGTGAGTTTATATATGTATATGTACAATAGCGTAATTGGGGCAATAAATGGGCTTATTTCCAAAAAATGAAGAACAATAATTTAAAACTAAAAAAGAAGTTTTTGAATCCTCCTAAACTTATCTTTTTTTAAATTATTTGTTTTACTGATAATACTTTTTAAATTACATTTTTTAATTAAATGTTAACTTTTTAATAATTTAAATAATAATTTTTATAAAAATTTTTTAAATGTCTTACAGACTTTCGTAATACTTTATTTTAAGCTAATTTTATTTTTTGAACTATGTTGTTAGTTTGTTTAGGGTTTCGGTTTTTCACAGACAAAGGGGTGAAGCTCCCAACAAGGAACATTTTCCCATTTGGCACCTCTCTGCAGCATGCCACACTGTTTTGTATGGTCTTTTTCAATTCCTCCATCTTTCCAATTATGATAATTAACAAGTGTACCGTCACTCCACTTCCATCCCGCGTTTTCACTTATTTTATTAGGATCAGTATTTTCGAGTCCTATCCACGGTGTTTCGCATGTATCAAACACTTTTGTTAAGTCTGCATTTTCTTTACTGCTATGTATAGACACAAGTTGACCTTTCATTGATTGACACTGAATCATTGCCTCAAAATAATCTACTTTACTAAGACTTATGTGGTAACATTTTTCCCCTAAAAAAAACCATCCATTATCGCAAGTTCCGCGAAACTTGTGAAACTCTGTTGTGATATTTATCAATGAACCAACAGTAGCTTGCTTTTTGCATACGTAATAGTTGAGGTAATCACCACAGTGCAAATTATTTGCCCAACTTCCATCTCCGTTATGTAAATAAGAACATTCAAATTTATCACCGTGAGGATAATATGACTGCCAGTTGACATAATTTCGTTTTGAATTATCAAACCATTCCCAATCTAAAAACATTTTGTTTATTAAAGTGAATAAAGAATCTTTTACTAAAATTTTTTGAACTCATTTATTTAATAAGCAAAAACAATATTTAATAAGCAAAAACAATATTTAATAAGCAAAAAACGATATTTCTATTAAAACAAAAAAATATAAGGGTATATATAAATTAAATAATAAAATAAATTGCAAATAATAAAATAATATAATATAAAGTAAATATAAATTGCTAATAATAAAATAATACCGAACTATATTTATTAAAACTTACTGTTTATCTTCAAAGTATAAACTTGAGTTTAAAATTTCGTGTTTTATAATTTTTTAATAAAACTATAGAAATTCGAGTGGAGTTTTATTGTTTTTCAATATGAAATATAATAAATTAGCATAATTTCCATATTCTAACATTCATTGGAGTAACTGTCCGCTATCTTTATGCTATCTCTCTAACTCTTGATATGGAATTTAGCCGGAGCAGTATAAATTACAATACAATTTAAAAATTAATGTTTTCAAATTATCATGTATTAGTTAAATTATCGATACTTGGACTTGTTGTACATGAATTTGCTAATAATTTAAAAATAACTTAAAAATAATTTAAGATTAAAAATTAATTTAGAGTTAAATAAAGCTTGATGTTGTCAAGGTATGTTGTCAAGGTTGTGTATTGTTGCCAAAACAAGTATTTTGTGAAATAAGTTTTAAAGAAAATATTTTAAGAAAACTAAATCAAAGTTTTTTTTTAGAAATCAAATTAAAATAAAAATAAAAAAAAGTAATATTTCTACTTTAACTATAAAACTGCGTGCACCTACTTTATTACAAATACAAAGTAGCGGAAACCATTTTAATATAAAAAATAAAAAAGGGTTCTAATATCGTTTATCTTTTAAAACCTTAAATTTTTTGTTTAATTTAAAAAACAATAATAATGCTTATTTTGCACAAAGTTAAAAACATTGAACAACTCATCACCTTTAGTTACCTTGAACATGGCAAAATACCTTAAACAATACAAAATAACATGGCAAAACATATTTAACGAAACAAGTATATCTTGAAGAAGGAAAAATACCTCAAACAATGCAAATCATTTTTGACAAAACATTTTAAACAAGGCAAAATACCTTAAACAAGGTCAAAAATAGTTATAGTTGTGTATACTACTTTTTTAAATTTTAATGTTTTTAATTTAAATAACGTGTAACAAATAAAAAAAAAAATTTAATGATGTAAATGAATTTTAAAGAAATTTTGCATTTGGGGATATTGAACAGAAAAATATTTGGTGCATTAGGGGTATTTACAAGAAAGCTATTTACACAATAATTTTCATTTCTAAGAAGAATCCCTTTAACTGATATAAATAATAGAAATTACTTTTCTTACCAGCTTTTGCATTGAAAATGAGAAGGTCAGACATAAAACCATGTTGTGCCGAGTGGAAAGGTTGAGATGCATATATTTTCATGTTTTCAAAATCTCTAGCATCGGAATTTTCCACCCTATGTATGTTTACTCCATTAATATCAACAGAAAACCAATACTTTCCGCCTATAAAACTTTGATATATTCGAACTTTAGACCATTGATTTAAATTAAGTAAAATTTTTGTGTCGAAATAGTAATGAGGATTACCACTCACTGAAGCATGAATACGAAGCCTTCCTGAGCCATCCTCATGAAACCACACACCTGGGTTTCGACCACCATAAACATCTACACTACTACCAGTGGTCAGTAGAAGAACACTACCCCAAAAGTTCCAAATAATTCGTGTTGGTTTTATGTTAAAGGAAATACTGTATTCTTTTCTCATAGTGTTTAGTGTTCCAATTAAATTACCTTGTGTCAATACAAATTCTTCTCTTCTATCAATATAATCTAAACCAAAAGTTTAAATTTAAAGATTTGAAAAAAAAGCAAAAAACAATACCTTTTTTTTAAACAATTGTTGACATTTAACTGAGTTTATGTGTCAAAAAGGAACCTCATTGACCCATGTCTTTAGCCTTTAAAGGATAAGTAATCGCCTAGAAACCCAAAAGCAATATAAAGTAAAATCTGTTTTTTATATTTATTAGAGCTCCTGGATACCAAAAACTAGGAAGAAATAATATTTTTATGTCTTTCAAATACGGAGTCCTTTTCGAGACTCCGCATCCCTAAATATAATATTAAAATAAAGACGGTAGCTCTTTAAAAACTGAAAAACTTTATATATTGTAACTTTTGGCTCTTTTGTCTCGAAAGGTTGCCAACCTCTGGTTTATACAAACTGTTAAATGTTTTTTTTGTTATTCTAGACTCTATTAAAATAATTGACTTTCGATGTAAATTTTTATTAGGTCTAATCTTAAAGTAAGGAGAGTTTTACTAATTTGAAATATGATTATAATTTAAACGTATAAACATTTTTGTGAACCCCTTAATCTTTTTTTTCTTAAAAGAAAAAAAAGATTAAAGGGTTCACAAAAAATGGCTCTTTTGCCCGGCCAATCTGATGTTAGAGTTTACTTTTTGTCACCTTATTCACCAAAATAGAACCCGATTGGGGAATACTTTAGTTGTCTTAAAGCTAATTATACTTCTATAAGGCCGTTTCCAAAAACTAGCAATGAAGTTAAGGCTACTTTAAATTTGCTTATACCGACAATTGGCGTTGATTTTTGTGGTTGGTATTGTAATATGAGAAGATGGGTTTTGAAAGGCATAGCAAGACAAGAATTTTATTAAAGTGGATACTTTGTTATATATATTATATCTTTAATTATAACGAGTTGAAGTTATATAAAATACTCTTTATTCTTTAGAATTTTATGAATAACTTTATATATCATAAATGCACTACTAAATCAACTAAAATGTTTTAAATTATTTTAAAGATTGTTTGATTTCTTTTTAAAATATGTTTTATATTTTCTTAAAAAAATTTTTATATTTCGCATAAACTCTGTAACATAAAGTTTTGACCAATAAAAAGATTAAAAATTATGAGTTCCACGATTTTTTGTGATCTAAACTTTGTATAAATAATTCAAATCTATTCATCCAAAATGATAATTTAAGTTATTCAGCTAGCGTTCTGGGTTTTAAAAACAAATGAATATAATACTATGATAATACCTAATTTTATTTGAGTTTTTTATTATTTGTAAAAAAAACTAATATTTAATTAATAAGGGAAAAAACGTACAGATAAGTTATAATTTTTAAAACCTGCGCAAAGTGTTATTTATTACTGGTGAAGTAAAACAACCACATTGCACATCTAAAAATAATCAAATGATAGCAGCATTATATCATAAATATATCGACCAATTAACTTTAAGACGTAACGTATTTACTTTAGGACGTAACTGCAACTTATATGAAGTATTATTGTAATAACAATAACTCTATGAAGGAAGAAACAAGTGAAAAACAGACTTTATAGTATAATCAGGATTACAAGTTAAATTAGCCAATTACATTTTTTTAAACGAATTTAAATTTGAACCAGTTTATATAAAGCTTTGTAAATTAATATTTTTATTTTCCCAGTCAAGATAATATTATAAAAAGACTGAAGACGGAAGGAGAATCAAAGACCCTTTTTAAGTATTACTTATTTTTGTATACTTTAGTCACTGATAACAATATCAACGTTTAATTTTATTTTTTTCGCATTCCTTAGGCATTTGTTTCTAACTGTTTAATATTTAAATGATAAAAAAAGAAAAATATATAAAAGATTAAACCTGATTCAGACGTTATCAAGTTGTTGTCAATCATTACTAAACCAATCCATGCATTAGCGCATCTGTTGAGGGTAAAAACCAGATGGTTTTCTCCTAGGTTTTGAATAGAGGCGAGATCAGATTTTCTTTTGCGACATTCTCTCGCAGCGTTAAACCAGTTACTTTGATGATGGAAAGGGCTCTGATGATATAATGAACTCCAATAACAATAACCTTGGTAGTATTTCCATTCTTCCGATTCACATGGATCTTTATAAAAAAAAATAACTCTTTAAACTTTTTAAGTTAATCTAAAGTTTTGGTTTTAAACCTAAGTTGGTGCCTTTTCGGTCACTATTTTCAGTTCATAGTTTATATATATATATATATATATATATATATATATATATATATATATATATATATATATATATATATGTATATATATATGTATATATATATATATATATATATATATATATATATATATATATATATGTATAGATATATATATTTATATATATATAGATATATATAGGTATATATATGTAATACATACATACATACATACATACATACATACATACATATATACATACATACATACATACATACATACATACATACATACATACATACATACATACATACATACATACATACATACATACATACATACATACATACATACATACATACATACATACATACATACATACATACATACATACATACATACATTAAACAATAAATTTTCTAAAAAGCTTTTTTTTCCTCATGAAAAAATATGCTTCTCATCAAAAACAAATTAAACTTTCAGAATGTTAATCCGAATTAGCCATAGATACACCCTGTAATAAACCGATTTAAAGAAAAATAAGTTAAGTTCTTTAACATAGCAAATGTTTATAAACTTTACATAAGTAAAAAAATAATGTCATAATTAACGAAACCATTAAAACTTTAATATTAACTTCAATATATTAAACTTCAATATTAACTTCAATATATTTAATAAACACTTCAATATATTTAATAAACACTTTTTACAAAATTTACAGCAATAGCTACAAGAGCACTGGTCCGTATAAAGCGGGGTTGATGGAGCTGCAGCCTCATGACCATAGAAAATAACAAGCCCTCCAACCTTTAATCTTTTTTTTTTTAATTAAAATTAAAAAATTGATGGGCAAACATTTTTTTAAATATCTTAACTGTAGTAGTCATTAAAATCTAGTGTCTTGGTTCGCAAAAAAGCTCGCACTATATCGGTTCGCAGTTTGCAATTTACCGACTACCAAACAATAAAGATCAATACAATGTCATGTGTAAAAAACTTGAATAATTTTTTAAACCAAAAAAGAATATCACGTATGAACGTTACATTTTTACGACTACAAAATAATGTTAGAGATAGTGGGGCCCCTTGACAATCTTTGTTTATGCTTCGTAACAATTTTTTTTAAGCAATTTGTTTAACTTGTAGAATAAATTTATATTTAAAATATTATAATTATAATTTACCAAAATAAAACAGGTTAACCTTTGTAAGACTAATTAAAGTAAAACAATGACTTTGTTTCAAGGAACCCCACCCATGGGTACTATGATACAAACTTATAAGCATCATTAATAAAGTAAATAAAAACTAAAAAAAGAAGAGATAAGGCAAATTTTTACTTGAAACAAAAACAAAGTAATAAGTGTAATCCAAATATGGCATCCAATGGTCCAAATCACATTTCAGAAGACCAAATAATAAATTATTTGAAATGTAATTCTTAAGCGTCAATAAGTAATGGCTTTGTATCAAAATTAATTTTCCTTGTATTACGTTTACATAAATCTTTTAAAAATTGATTATAAATAATATATAATAATAATAGCACAATGAAGTACTATTCTACTGCTTTATGGCCCCCCACAAATGCTGTATCAAGTTACCTCACACTTGCTAATAGAAAACAGTTGCTTTAATTTTATTATCGACTTGTTTTTTCAACGATTTTAATTAATGAAAGAACCCATGGATTTTAGTTTACAAAATAATGTTACTTATCAATAGACACATTAAATAAAGTACCTTAAAATATATAAGAAAAAGAAAATAAAAAAAGAATGGATGTATGCGTATCTGCCAATATATGTATGTAGGCTACGTTTGGAGGTGAGCCATCCTTTGGCAGTGGCTAGGCATTTTTGTCGTTCGAAGAGAAAACGGTAATTTATATATTTGGCAGTGGCTTGGCGTTTTTGCTGTAAGAAGCGTAAACGGAAATTCGGTAATTTGGCTAAACACACAGCGAAAACCATCGTGTCTCGGTCCTTTTGCACAACCTTTTCAACGATCTGGAAATGTACTTTATTAAGTCCGAATATGCGATTAAATGGATTATATACAGTAATATATAGTAAATAATATGTTTTAATTAATAAATTTCAGTGATTATTTCGACAAATTAAGTTCAGGGCGCGCAAGAGATTTATTTAGAAAATTATGAATATTATTATTCGCATGAGTCATCTGTTCGGAAGACACAGTAATTTGATTAATGTAAGGCGTAAACACCACAACAAAAGTAAAAACCATAAAAAAAAAACAAAAAATGTTGTAATTTCTTTAATTGCGGTTTCTCTGTGACAAGGCCATTTGGTCTTCTTTGAGTATCTTAATTTTTATTTTTATACTTTATTTTTTAACGATATCAAGTATTTAAAGTTGACTTGTTAACTTCTTATTTTATATTATTTGTAACATATGTATCTTAAGTATTGTAATAAAACAACAAGCAAAAGAAATGTTCAGAAAAATATAAGATATCGACTCAATTGACCTTTTAAAAATAAAAAACCTTTCCAAAAAGACAAAATCAAGCAACAGATTTTAAAGCAGGAATTAGCCAAAATGAAGGTGACCCTGACCCCCTGGTATAATTTTCATTTTTAAGCGACTATCACATTAGGTTCTTCTATATTTACAGTCTCAGACCTGAAAATGTCTTAATTCGACCCTGCATGAGTACAAGAACAACTTCAAAAGTACAAAAACAACTTTAAAAGTACAAAAGCAAATACAAAATTTTAATAATAACTTTAACAAAGCAAAAGCTGCAAAGTTATAATAATATTTCTAAAACATTTGACAGATAACTTACATTCCTCTGTTGTAGCGCTTATAACAAAAAATAACAAAGTACATTTAAAAATTAAGTAAATTGATTTAGGTTTCATTATTTTCTTTGCTATAATAAGATTCAAAAAACTTTATTATTACTTTCTGTAATCATCATATCAAAGAAAGGTGTTTAAATATTTTAACATATGTATAAACAATTAAAAATTATAACTTGTTAATGTACAATGTAGAAAAAAATTTTGAAGCACAAACTGTTATTTTTTGATTTCTTGCTGAAAGGCATTTCTTAAAAAATTGCGCACAAAAACTCGTAAATGTTTTGTCTATTATTTTCATAATAATAAAACTGGCAATATCCAGTTTAGTCTCATTTAGTTCTAATCTATATAAAGATCTTGTAAAACAAGAATGGTTTTTATTAGTAATGTTATCAAAGATTAAATTAAGTTTGAAGCAGAATCACGCAAAGAACAATTTTAGTTTCTAGATTAATAAACTTAAATTCCTCGGAAATTATAAGTTCCGGCCGTTTACTTTTTTTAAATAATACTTTAAACATTAGAAATTTTTTTCAGAAAGTGACAAGATTGCACTATGTATCATAGTTTCACAGCAACCGATTAAACATCGATTAAATCAAGCTCGGAAGTTGCAAATTTGACTATTTCATGTAGTTATTTTTACGAAAATAATTTCCTTCTGAGTATTTCAAGTAAAATATTTCCACAACTCATGTTTAATCTATTTTTGATAACAAACTGCAGTCGCCAAATATTTTTAGCCAGAGTATAATGTTTAGAAAATTATTGTATATTTTTTAAACTATTGCAAAATTAACTCACACACAGACACACACACACACACACACACACACACACACACACACACACACACACACACATATATAAAATGATAAAAATATATTTAAATATTGAGGAAGCCTTAAATACAAAAAAATATTTTTACTAGAATTTTTATTTAAGAAAATCATAAAATTATGTATATTATAAGTCCCTGCTTCTAACTGTAAAAACAAAGAAAAATAAAAAATCACGCACGGAAGTAAAAATGCCCTGTACGGGAGTTCTTAAGAGTTAAAACCTTAATCACTATTATGTGTGCAAACTTTATAAAATGCTGCAGCCCGTAAAGTTTACACTTTTTAAATACTATTTAGACTCATGTTAAAAATGTTTTATTAAAAAAATTTTGAGTGTTTTTATTTATTCTTGCCGGTCTGTTCCCATTAGGTTGAATATTATGTTGTTAAAAAAGAAGGTTAATACGCAGCTGTTTTTATCTTTAAACACCCTATTTTATTATAAGGCATTTATGGTTAAAAATAATCTGTTTTTCTAAATTTAATATTTTATATATGGATGATTTAGCGCCAAACCAGCGAATATGTAGAAATGAGATAATTAGACGCAAAGTTTAAAAGTTCTTAACTAAAGTCTATAAACTAAAAAAACTAAAAGTAAATGCAGTTCAGTGCACATAAAAATTTAAAGTACAGAATATTGGGTGTTTGCAAAGAAACATCACATAAATCATTTTTTAACATAAACTATTTTTTTTCAACTTTTGGTTTGGCGCTTAACCATCCAAATGTGACTCTGAAGCTTGTGTTCAATTTTGTATTTGCTTATAGTGACTTCAAAAAAAACCAAAAAAGCTGATAAGTAAAATTTTTTAAATCATTTTGTGCGTGAGATTTTTAAAATTTTTAAAACTTGGATTTTAAAAGTTTATATTGGATCAATAAACGTTTTACTAGACATGGTACTGTTACTAAAGAAACGCGGTTAATGTTTGAAACAATGAATAATGTTTTTGGTACCAAGGAGACAAAATCAAAAAAAAAACACTTTTTAAAAACAGATATGAGTAAATTAGGTTAGAAGTATAATTTTTAAATAAATTCAAATGTAGTTTTGATAATTTTAGACACGAAGTTGCTTAAATCCATTAATTGTAATTAAGAATTTTCCAAAAATTGTGTCAAACATATGATGTATGCAACTGAAAGAGATATAAATCCCAATTAGTATAAATTCTCTTACTAAATACAGATATATTAATCTATACGAGGAGTAAATTTTGAAAAGACACTAATTTGCCACTGTGTCACAAAATGACTTTTAATTCGAACCTCTTTTTCCTAGAAAAAGTTTCGGGGGTATGAAAGGACAAGCATGTAGGAGTACATTAGAGTTGGTTTTGAAATCTTTTATCGAAAATCGATTTGAAAATTTTGATTTTTATTGTTGAGAAACGTTGTTGATGCTTTTCACTGATTGGAAGAGGGATTCCACATAATTGTATGCATTGATAAAATTTACTAGAAGTTGGAGTAAAAGACACAAAAACAATAGAAAGAGTAACTGCTTTTGTCATAGCTAAACTTTTCTTCACTCATGGCACTTTGCGTCTTAGTCAAGAAATATGAAGATATCTTTCTGTTACTCCAGGTGAAAATTATTTTCTTTTTGTCATATATGCTTAATATGCTTAATATAACTTTTGCTTTTGTTTAAGTGCCTCTATTATTATCACAAGAAAACTTTATAATATGAGAAACCGTGTTAATTTTATGTAAACTTTTTTCTCCTTTTTTCATTATCAAGAAAAACAGATTTTTTTCTAGCAGGTACACCCACCTTAATTACTCAACAACTTCTACAAGTTCTAAACCAGGCTGAGTTTTCAAACAAAGGGATGGACAAGTTTGCTTCAACACTTAACAAAGTAGCTCCCCAGCGAGAAGTTGAAAAAAGCTTCAGGGAAAAATTTGAGTCTTTTAGAAAGCATCTTTCTTAGTTATTTGTCACCTCAGAAATTTCAGACACATCTGAAAGTCTATTATCTATTAAAATTTTACTATCTATAAAATTCTATTACCTATAAAATTCTATTATGTATAAAATTCTATTATCTGTAAAATTATGTTATCAATAAAAGGCTACTATCTATAAGTGTGCTGCAAAGATGTTGAAGCTCTAAGAAACACTTTAGTTTAGATCAGAGGTCCTCAGTCAAATGAACTTATCAAGGTGAGAATTGATGGAGGAGGGGAGTTCCTGAAAGTGTCTCTAGACCAGAGTGGCTAAAAATGTTGAGTATTCCGCAATAACCTTTTCATGGAGGGCAATTTGCTGCCAATGAGTGCAGAAAGCTTTTACAAAATGTTGGCTTGTTTCAACAACATACGGAAAAGCATGCTTGCTTTTTGGCGTTTCCATTCATTGACACATTAAGCAAATTTAATATAGCATGCTGTCTTTTTTCATGTGACACAGTTTATAAATTATCACAATCACTCACTGGGCATCTATTCAGAGCAATCAACAGAACCACTCCCTCATGACTTCAACAATCACAGAAAACGCTTCAAAAGACCCAATAATTATCCAGACTACTCTAAGAATCTTTTAAACTGTTTTATTGATTAAAACAGCATTCCTTTTAACTTCTTCGTAGAAAAAATTGTATTATAACATATGATTTGTAAGAAATAACCATTCAATATCAATTTTTAAAACTCTATTTAATAAGAATGTTCATTGTTTTAAGTTTCTTAATTTCTTAAGCTAGAATCTGATTTTTTTAAATTTTTTGATGAAACTGAATGCTGTTTGTTTGTTGTTGTTTCTAAGTTGTTAGTACACTGCTTTTTTATAGAATAAATATATTAGAAAACGTTTTTTTTTTTTTTATTACCATTATTATTTATAGGATATTATAGAATAGAATTTTTTATTATTTGTAAAGTATTATAAAATAGAATTTAACATACTTATAGAATAAATATGTTAAAAAAAAGAATAAAAAAGTTAGAAAAATTGTTTTCAATAGAAAATGTAACTCATTTGTTCAGAGCTAAAATTGAAAATTTCAAATCAATTTTTCTTTTTACGGACGATGATGAACGACTTCAAAACTAGTTCTAATGTGCTCCTACATACTTATATCATACCCCGTAAGGTTGTTCTCGGAAAAAGAGGTTTAAATTAAAAGCAATTTTGTGACACATATTTTAATAATATGGCTGTAAATAATATGAAACTAATAGTTCCATATATAGTTGTATTTTATATATATATATATATATATATATATATATATATATATATATATATATATATATATATATATATATATATATATATATATATATATATATATATATATATATATATATATATATATATGTGTGTGTGTGTGTGTGTGTGTCTATATATATATATATATATATATATATATATATATATATATATATATATATATATATATATATATATATATATACATATATATATATATATATATATATATATATATATATATATATATATATATATATATATATATATATATATATATATATATATATATATATAGCGCCGGATCAAGAATGCGCGGGAGCTGACACGAATCTAGTTTTGCGGGACCCTAAAAACAAATGCGAGGATAAAACCATTTGGTTATTAATTACATATACTTGATAATTTTACTATCTTCTAATAAATAAAAAACAATTTTAAATTTTTTGTCACAAAAATTATATAAAAGTTAAAGAATGAATTTAACTGAATTTTAATAAATAATTGTGTATCTAGACAGTAATAGTGATGTTCTGCATGTTTAAAAAAATATATACTTTTAAATTAGAATACTGTTTAATTAGATATTGAGCAACCATGCCGCAGTGGTTAGAGTTTTTGCTTAGAACCAAGAGGTAAGAGATACGTCATTAGGCGTTTAACTAGGAAAGGGGCATGAACTTCCTAATTAAATATTCTTCTGTGTTACTCTGTGATAAAACCGTAAGGACTTCTGGAAGCACGTTAATGGCAGCAACCACAACAACAACAAAATATTATCAAAATGTTATAGACATTTACTATTTTCTAATTCATAAAATTATATAAAAAAGTATCAAGCCAAGAGAATAAGAATTTGATGTCATGTTAATTAAAGTCAAGACTTAAAAGTTTAAATGGTAATATCAAAGTCTAGCTACATCGTTATTGATAACAAGTCTATTCATGTCAAGCTTAATAACATCAAACATTAACCGTAAAACTACGTTTTTTTAGATTCCCTGCAAACTGCTTGTCAACACTTATCGTTGCAGTTGCTGATAGCAACTGAAAAAGTTGAAACAGGATTATAAATTATGTCTTGTTCAGTTCTCCAGCATTTATTTTTCTGAGTATGTTTTTTTTTTTTTTTTTTTTTTTTTTTAACAAATATAATAAATTGTTTGTTTATAAGATTTAATAGTATTAGTATTTTTTTTTAAAGTTGCTTTGAGTTGATTATTATGTAACAATAAACGTTGAGTTGATTAATGTTTAATAACAAATGTGTAACAATATAGTAATCCTTTCCTATACTTATATTTTACTTCGGCTATGGTTATCTTACTTGTTTACGATTTACATACTGTATTGAGTCAGCTTGTGTTAATTACACGTGTTTCAAGTTGTTTTATGGTTTTTAGTTATGTGCAACATATTGCATGGTATGTTTTAATTAATGTTGTTAATAAATATTTCTAATCTATATTTTTTTTAGTATATATGCTATGAATTTTTATATTACTCAAATCTTTATTTTTTATTTAATCAAGTTAGAGTAAAAATGGATTAAAACACAGAGTTAAATCAGAATTTCATCATGCGATCATGGTGGCGTAATTAGAGAAGTACTGAGGCAGAATACAACTATTTTAAAACAGTCTTGAATCAAATCATTGTATAACAATGTTTATCGTTGTATAAAAATATTATGAAATTCAAATCTGTTTTTAAACTGATTCATATTAAATATATGTAAGACTAAATATTTATGCGCTTAATACAACTTATTGCCTTTAGAGCGAACTTAGTATACGTAATTAATATACTGCTTTAACTTTTTTATGTTAAATAAAAAATGCGACACTTGAATAAAAAAAGAACTTAAGAATCTGAGAAAAGCAAATTTTTAAATAATAAATAAAACGCACGTTAAACGGAAAAAATATCTGGGTTTAATATGTGAATTCTCGTCAAAAACCAAGACATATACCAGATAAGACCCAGTTAGATCCCGCTGAGAGAATCATGATGGATCCCATATGGGATACTCAGATGGGTCCCAGCATTTTCCTCATCTGGGCGCAAAAAAGGGTCTTGTAAAAATGAAAAATCGATTTGGATTATATTACTCAGAACACATTTGTTATTGAAACAACTACAACAAAAAAAAGAGTTGTCCGTGTGAAACATTTTTTTACAAAATATATCTTTTTTTATTTTTAAATACAAAAAAATTAAAGTTTTAAATTTGTCAAAGTTTCAACCTCAAATCGTTAACTTAACTTTATATTATTAAATAAAAAAGTTTAGAGATTTAGTTTATTAAATTTATTAACTTCCAACAAAATAAACAAAATAATGTTATACTCTAATTTAAATAAATATATATATATATAGTAATATAAAATAAAACTACTACAAATAATATTAAACTAAATAATTTTTTGATCTTTTTTCGTAACGTTTTTTGGAATATTTTGACGTAAATTAATTAAATACATAAATTTATAAAAAATACTACTCATACATCAACAACCATTATTATATCATATAAAAAAATACTTGCAGAGTCCTGAAGTCAGTTTTCATTGGGTGTTCTTTAATAAACTCTTAAATTAACTTGATGTGGTGTTCTGCATGGTCGCTTATAACTGCAAATGTACTTAAACACATTAAAAAGTTAGTAAAAGACTGGAAAACTTCCTCAATTTTCACCAGGTTCAATGTCTTTTTCTATCAAATTTGGATAAATACCAAGTATGACATATGAGGATCTAGTAAAGAACCCTTCCTATGGCTATAATTTGTTTAACTCGTTTACTGGTTGTAGCTGTAAAACATTATTGAACGCAAATAAATTATTTAAGGGTGGTTGAGAAGCATTATGGCTTTTCTGAAAATGAAATTGCGTAATAAAGCCTTTGGTTTGGCAATGATAAGTAAACTTAACTAAGTCTTTGATTAAATAAAAAGCATTTAAGGATATGATGTGGTCTTTCCAACTTGTATAACAAGAAAACTAAGTTTCTTGGTTTTTGAAGAAATTAAAGGTTAGATCGACGAAACTAAAAAAAATGTTTAACACTTTGAAATTGTATCATTAAATATTGTGTTAAACTCAGTACTCAGATGGTGTAGCAAAAGAATAGTGATAACTAATTTAGAATTTTTAAAATGCAATTTTTAGGCTTGTTTAAAGCATATTTGAAGGTGGTGATCAAGGCTTATATAATCAGACATAGTTTCATATAACTCGTTGTAATTTTATCGCAAAGCACTCTGGGATGTCCTGCCGGACCTCAGAATTTTATAATATTAAGTAGCGAATGGGTATCTTTAAATGTACCTAAAAGAATTTTGATCTTAGTTATAACAATACCATCATATTGTGCTGCTATAAACTGTGGAAATAAAAGTGGTAAAAACTGTAAAGGTATTTCATTATTTCGTTTTCCTAAAGACAAAAAAAGGCAAGCTAACTCCTATATTATGTATAATAACTTTTTTTATTCATAAAAAGTTTTTAAAATTATTATTGCAGTATTTTAAAACATTCTTTTATTGTTTAATTTTTAGATGTAAACAGTGGGTCATAAACAGTCGTAGGAAAGACTAAGATAAAAAAGATTTTGCATTTTTCAACAAAAACTTTTATACTCGGTGTAGTTAAGGCATTTTTAAAATATTATAGCGTCTGTATGATATTTTGTTGATTATGACATATTTCCGTGAAATGGTCTGGTCTGTGAATTATGAAAAGACAAAAAAAATTAAAATAATAAATTTTGCGGTATCATAAAACATAAATGTTTTTAGCGAAAAAACCCAGACCGTGGAATCTTTTTTTTTTTTAAAAATCATTTGAAAATCACAATCGCTCGTCCAAATTTAAATAAGATTTTATATTAATACGTTTTTTAGGTGAAATGAACATTAAAGTTTAACAATATGATCTGTTCTGATCGTTTATTGGCAATTATTTATAATTATAAGCTCTTTCTTGGTCGGAATTCCAGTATTTTGTGAAAATTGATAGAAATATTGTTTTTGACAACTACATATAGTTAATATACGTCAGAACCGATTAGAACTAGATTAGAACAGAACCGATTAGAACAGAACCGATACGTCAGAACCGGTTAGAACTAGGATCAGTAGTAAATTAAGTAACTTTTTAAAAAGATTTTAACTAAATTCATGTTAATGTCGATGAGCGAAATTGATCTAAAGACTCCAAAATAGTGTTCTTTAAATACATTATTACGGGTTGTAAAAAGATTTTAAAAATTATATATAAAAAAGAAAAGTTTCTTCAAATATTATAAAAACCTTAAGCTAAAACAATTATAACATTTAAAGGTCTTGTTTGGGCATAATATGCTGACAAAACCATGCTAATTCCAAATAAAAGTATTCAAATATTTTGTAAATCGTCTTTACTACACCGAGTATGTGCAGTAATTATTTTGAAAATATAATGTGTTATTTTAAAAATAATGGTGGAAGTTGTTTGTTACAATCAGCAATTCCAACTATTTTTAACATACCAAATCCTCCTCCACTTCTTGGTTGCAAAAAAAAACCACCGGTTGAACGTCATTCAGTTCCAGCGAAAAAGCAAGTTGTTTGTTTACCTGTTAATTCAGATAGTAATTTAGAGAACAAAATGTATACTAATAAAATAAATTTCAACAAACTTTAAAGGTTATTATTAAGTTTGCGAGTCGAAATTTCTAGACTACGTAAACAAGTTCGATATTTAAAATCCAAACAAAAAACCCAAAAAAACTGTGATGGTTCTATAAAACATATTTTAAATTTATCCAGGAAATACTTATCACCTATACAAGTTTGTTTTTTTAAAATTCAATTAGAAATGGGTAAACGAGTCAATATAGAAAATTGCTGGGCAGTTTGTGAGAAAGTATTGGCTTTGAGAAATCTGTTTCATAGTCCTCAAACTTTTAATGTCTTGCGAATGATATTTTTAATCAAAAAGTCGTCACATTATTTCGCAGATTCGAGATACAAAAAATCTGCAAAAAAACAAACTATAAAAAGTTGAGAAAACTCGCGGTAAATGAAAAAAATATCTGGGTTCAATATGGGATTTCCCGTCAAAACCCAGACTTATCCCAGATGGGACCCAGCTGGATCCCACTGACAGAATCGCAATGGGACCTATGTGGGATACCCAGATGGGTCCCAGCGTTTTCCCTAGTTAGAATGGTTAACTGGGATAGGTATTGCTTTTAAAAATTACATTGTTTACATAGATTGAATAGATACTGCATTTAAAAATGAACTACTATTAGTATATAATAGTATATACTATATAATGCCTATATGAAATAAAAAAGAAATTTAATTTAATTTATCTTTTTAAATCTATTTTTAACTTGTTAAATATTTTGATATTTTTTTTTACATAAGCTCTAAATCTAAAATAGTGTAGTACTTTAAACTAGAAAATTTAATAAAAATAATTATCTAAATTAAGGATTATAAAATTTTGTAATCCTTAATTTAGATAATTATTTTTATTAAACTTTCTAGTCATTAAAAAATCAAGGTTTTAAAATCTTGATTTTTTAATGACGAAAATAAATATTAGAAGTAAGAAAATGTTTAGATATACTTACTAATCTATCTAATAATTATATTATAACTTTTATGTAAATAAAATATGTAAACTAATAAAGCAAAACCATAACTAAACTAACCTGAAAACTTCTTATGTTTTTTAATGTAACAGTTTCCTTCATAATTAATACTGAAAAAATAAAAATATAAATAAAAACAATGGTAAAAACTTGCTATTGAACTATATAAAAAATATACAACTTTTATTTTTACATAAATATTAAAAATATATGCAATTCATAATTAACATTGAAACTATTAAAAATAAAAAGTAGAAATTCACAAGTACCGCACAAACTCGATTTAATTTTATGTTCCGCATTATGATTGGCTATTTCAGACTTTTTCATTCTCAATTATTTGAAAGTTCTATGTTCGAGCCCACTAAAAAATGTGGCGACAGCTTATACTCGTCATCGATCAAATTTACACATGATGGGTCATGTGTAAATTTGATCATGTCTAAATACATAAACGATATTTACATCTAAATAAATAAACGAGAGAATTTTAAAATTAGTTTGAAAATAAACCATCAGCAATCAATTACAATATTCTTGTAGGGTCGATATTACATATCTTGGCCAATATTGCACCAATATTAAAGTATAAATACTACGCTATTGTTGACAACATTGCGCCGATGTAGGCATATTAATAATGTTTGTTTTTAGCAAAATCCAATATTGGCAAATAAAACGAAGCTTTTATTATTTTACTTAAACTATTTAGAAAAATTCCATTTTATTAAAAATAAATAGGACATATTTCTATGAGATTTGTTCTAATAAAGACTTGATATAGCAATGACTATGTTACTTCTTTATAACTACTTATTTATTACTATTGTAATAAAGGCAAACTCTTATACGTGAAACAATTTGTACCAGTTTTATATTTCTTTGTGCAACTGTATGTACCTTAAATAAATTACAAAATAAAAGATAAATGCGAGAGTAAAAGCGATGCAAAAAAGTTTTTTCCACAAATGACGTCACTGCGCAAAATGTTTTTGGCTTTACGTTTAGATTAGGGGTCTTCCATAAAGTACGTACGCCGAAAATTTCGAAAAT